CTGCATAAGAGTTTTTTACCATCATATGTCTTTCCACCTCCTCCAAACATAACTACGACTGCATAAGAGTTTTTTACCATCATATGTCTTTCCTCCTCTTCCAAACTTAACTACGGCTACCCTTATTGCATAAGATGAATTCTCTTGCGACAAAAATGTCAGGACCACACCCTTGTTGTCTTCGATGATGACACAGTGGAAATGACTTGTGTAGTCAAAAACTCTTATGCAGCCGTAGTTAAGTTTGGAGGAGGAGGAAAGACATATGATGGTAAAGATGAATTCTTTTGCGACAAAAACGTCAGGACCACACCCTTGTTCCTCCTCCTCTCTTGCGACGTAAACGTCAGGACCATCATATGTCTTTCCTCCTCCTCCAAACTTAACTACGGCTGCATAAGAGTTTTTGACTTGACAAGTCGTTTGCTCTCTTTGTAAAGCGAGGTCTCGAAATTGCCTATAGTTATACTTACCTGACTTCGCTTCGGCAACCAAGTGTCCCCGGATGGGCTCAGGCAACGCGCGGGAGTAGATGTACAACACTTGGCTATCTTGCAGGTTCAATCCTAAAACCTGCAACAATCGGTCGACTTCGCGGGACAAAGCCTCGACCACCAATCGTCGTTAACTGGTTAAATGCCTTGTCGGTCGTTGTCTTGTCAAGAAAACGATCCTCGATCTTGGCTAAGAACTGTTTCAGTGTCAAGGTTTTTGCTCACTCGCCGATGTCTTCAAACCCCGCGGCGTTGGCCTCAACCAACACCCATATTTGGCCTCACCTCCCATACAAGAGGTGGTGAACACAACTTGGGACTCCGGTTCGACTGGAGCGGTGCTTACATATGTTTGGATTTCGGCAATCCAAAGCAACAGACTCTCATCTTTCTTATTACTAAACGTGAAAGGGAACTTCATTTTCACTTTCTCTTTCTTTTTTTGCTTCTCCGGTTGTGCACTTGCCTTGCGCGTAGTTGTCGAAGAAGGAGGCTTGGGAGAACAAGACGAATGAGAGGAGTTAGACGAAGAGGACGATGGATTCGATGGTCCATTCCCATTGGTAGTTGTCTTAATTGTTGGACTAGCAGACTTCATGGCATCTCCCATCAACTTCTTTACTTCTTTCTTATCTTCTTTTCCTTCTTGTTTATCTTTTCCCTTACCCTCTATCTGGTTCTTTCCTTTCACAATGTTTGCGATGGTTCGTAGTCCTACAGCAATCTCGTCTAATTGTTGTCTGTCAATTTTCTCTTCCAAGAAGGTAAGGTAAGTCATAACATGAGACAACATATGAGACATGTCCGCTTGTTCCCCAATTTCTGTTCCAATCACTTATTTGATGTCCTTAACTTTTCGTTCTCTTCTTTGTTCCTGTTCTCTCCTTCTGGCCAGTTCTTCTTTCTTTCTTTCTTTCTTTCGCGGCCAGCGTTTCTTTCAACTGCTTGATGTTTGCAACTTTGCATCAATCGTAGCCTCGATTACTTCTAGCTTAGTCCCGTTTTTACAAGCCAATTCCATTAGTTCTTCCAGTTGTTTCAAGGCAAACTGGTCCAATGCCTGATGACACTGGGCAACCAGTTTTCGAGACTTCGGTCCCGTCTACCACAACCTCCACAGCTATGATAGATTTCTTCAAATGGTCTTCAGCCGTCTGCAAATCAAATTTACACGGATGTGATGTTCAACATCCGGTTCGAATAGATGTATTTCAGTCAACAGCTGGTTCCACAAGGCCAACGGTTCTTGTTTCCTATTCTCATCCTGCGTCCAAATCTTAGGCTCAAATGGTCCATCGCCCACGGAGAGCGTGAACGGTATAGGAAACAAGAATGTGGTCACGAATCTCGTCATAATAGACTTTTGCAAACGTTTCTAGAAGTGAAACATTTTCGGAGGACAGAAACAAGAAAATTCGTCGGTCAGGTTGGTCTACCGCAAAATAAATAAAGAGAATAATTTAACGGTCACCCGAACCAAATTCACACTATCTGAACAGAAAGATTTAATAACAAGGAACATAATTTTTTTTTAACTAATTCTGATTGTTGTTCTATTTTCAATGTGATGACGTTCTATTCTATTTCAGGTACCGCGACTCAGGCCAACATGATCATCAACACACACAAGTACACAGACACACAACACATCACAAGACAACAGGTAAGTTTGCTAACAAAATCACAACAATGGTTAGCGTTTTTCCCTGTTGCTGCTTCTTCTTCAGTCCTGTGTGATCAGTACCCAATGATGTCTTGCACCACAGCCACGTTAGTCTTCTAGCTGTGCCACTTCAGTCATCAGAATGCAACTCTACTTAGGCACAACCGTGCCTGCCACGTGTCACCCCACGCATGCCAACTCATCAAGTCAAAGAGTATGCCACGTCAGCATGTCCAGTCAAATCAAGGCCATCAATGGGGTGCACGTCAGCAATTAAGTCACGTTCCTGCCTGGCACGTGTATCCCCTGGTGTGCCAACACAGCACCGCTTGAGTATGCCACGTCAGCAGTATAATCCGGTCAGCATCATCAGTGGGGTACACGTCAGGAGCAATATCAGCGCGTTGTACAATGCCACGTCAGCCAGGTAATGGAGTGCCACGTTAGACAATGCCATGTCAGCCTGAAGCTACTCACCACAGTAGATGAGTGGTGAGTCAGCATTGCCACGTCAGCACTCCTCCACAACCACCGGCCACGTCAACAGTGCATCCCGATCGCAGATGCGATCGATCGGGATCTGGATGGCAGCGCGTTCCTTGCTGGATTTTCCCCTGTCGGGATACCAATGCCACGTCAACACCTGACGTGCACAATTCCAATCTTATCCACGCCAGCTCCTCGGTTGTAGGCGTCAGCACTTCTTCGTCGTCGTTCTGTACAGGTCGTCGTCGTCAGTCACATCATCGAGAGTACTGCTCCGATACCAAATTGCAATGAACCCAGATCGTGAAGACACTTGTCAACAATGCAAGCCTAGATAGATATCAACCTGCTGATGATTGTCAATAATCATAATCGTGTCCAGATAGAATGAGATGGGAAATCATACACAGGCGAAGGAAAGAGGAGGGAGAATAGACTTAGAGTGGAGAAAAAAGATAATGCCCACTAACGTGAATTTGAAGTTCTATCACAATGTGCCACGTGGCATATCAATTTGTCCTCATCAGTGAACTTGAGCAATGTCGACATCAAGAAACCAGGTACGTATCTACAATCGCCCCACAGTTACGATCTTCTCCCGAGTGATGATGAATTAGAACAGCAATACCAGTCACGTAACCTCGCCACGCCAGCAACAGTATACGTGGCAGCGGCCACATCAGCGGCGACGCGTGGCAGCTGCCACGTCAGCATGCCCAGAAGACAATTTCCAGCCAGCCACCATGCCGAGCCAGCAGCGTGTCGCCGCAGTCGTCCAAATGCCAGCGTAGAGCCAGCGTCGAGCCAACGTCGCAGTGTTGCGCTAGCGTCGTAGTCAACACGTGAAGTCAGCATTGATGCAAGACAGAATGTTCTTCAAGCCAGGAGGTCCAGGCTTATGTAGCGTTGATGCGGGGTCTGGACCCCAGTTGCTGCTTACCTCGGTCGTCGAGATCTTAAGGCAAATGACGGCCCAGATAGGCCTGAAACCGAACTCCCTGTGGCCTCGATGTTGTCTGAGTACCTTGGCAGAACAAGTGAGTGTATCCGACCAAGGGCCTGGGCGTGGTACGTTTGACAGTTGACTTAGAGTGTTGGCTTTCCCAGGGCAGTGAGTGGTCACACTGCCTTGCACAGACTGAGTTTGGCCTGTGTAGTCTGGGCTCCGTTCGAGGCCTAGACTTCTGCAGAACACGGGTTACTAGTGCGTTGCAACATTGATTGGGCTAGTCATTGATATTCTAGCATTCTCATACGCTATCTTGCACTACGTGATAGAGCTCAGTCTCAGTCAGGTCAGGACTTGTATCTAAGTCTTCCCTGCGCTATAAAGCACCATTTTTGTATGTATCAGAATGTGCACTGCTTGTTGAGATTTCACTTGCACTGCATTGTCCATTTAATCCTTTTTATCACATTGCGGATCCTCGGCTATTATGTACATCGCCCAACTGGGCATGTAACAGTTCGTATCGAAACACCGCACGTGAACCAGGACAACCTGATCTGACACGTGTGCGGGGACTAGGTAGCTGATTAGTCTTGATTAATTGATTAGAGCACATTAGTTCGCCTCCAAAATCACGATTTTGACCTCACTTCCGAAAATCACTTTTTTTTGTTTTCTTATTTTCTTGGATTTTGTTTTCTCGCTATTTCTATTGTGGAAAATCGTAATAGCGCAACATCCGAAATTTATGTTTTCGTTCTTCTTCTGAACATTCAAAATTTTGTTGTTAGAAAATCCGAAATATCTTTTTTTGAAATTTTCGATTTCCGTTTGCAAGTTCCTGGTACGAGAAATCCCTCTTGCAGTAACATTTTTCAAATTGCGAATACTCTCGTCTGAGTAAGTCCAAATACTGGTTATTTCTTTTCGAAATTTTTCTTATTCGCAGTTCCATGACTTTCACTACTTGATAATCATTGGGAGTTTGAAAGTTCAAAAAAAAAAATCTCATTGATAATTTTGCACTTCAAGGGAGGTTGGGAACCCTACTCAACTTGCAAAACTCGGGATTTTTTTTTTTGTGCAAACTTGCAAAACTCGAGATTTTTATTTTTCTCGAATTTTTTTTTGCAAAGTTCAAGCTTTTCTTTTTTTATTAGTGGCTCCTCATCTGGCCGATTTATCCCCACCCACCCCTCCCCACCTATGTTGTTGCCCCCTCCCGCCTTACCTTCTCTAGCTGTTTTCGGATACCCCTTCCAGCGCCATTGGTACGTTGCCACATCAGCAGACCACGTCAGCAGGCCATGTCAACAGGACACGTCAGCAAACCATGTCAGCCGACAACAGTGCCACGTCAGCAGCTAGGAGTACCACGTTAGCAGGCCCCAGCCTCGTCTATGCTTACGGGCTCGAAAACAACCGTCATGGGCCAGATGTCCGGGGAAACGGACGAGGCCTATCAGGCCTGGATGCTGCTTCTGATTACCGAAGCCAAGCAACGGTCGGATGTAGTAGCAGCCGCAACAAAGAAGAAGGCAGACGACACCGAGAAGGCATGTCCGTTGGCAATTGAACAGCAGCGCCAACAAGACGAGGCGGCAGCAAAGGCTGCTGATGAAGAACGACTTCAACGACGCGAGAATATATTCAACGGAGAGCGAGCTTTGCTCACAATGGCAGCGGACTGGCGGGCTGAGGTTGAGAATGGGAAGTTGGAAGAGAGTGGAAACAAGATCGCTTTACTCCTCTTCCATCTCACGGACCTCCGGGCCACGTGCATTGCACACCAGGAGGACATTGATAACCTCAATGACGTGGTTCAGACACACAATCAGGTGTTTGACCAACTCACCGGCCACCTCCAGCAGCTGGAACAAACCGTCGCTGCCCCTGTTGCCAGCTCTTCCAACACCTCCGATCGCCTCAAGGCATTGGACATTGACGTCGGATCCCTCAAGGACGGCGTGCAGTTACAGCAAACTGCAACGCAACAGTTGGAGCAGCGGATCTGTACTCCCGCCAACCACTCGAGCTCGGAACTGCGCGAGACAACTCCAAAGTTCAATGGGCACGAGATCTTATGCGACTCGACGAAGACAGACCCGATTCCATGGTTCCGCAAGTTCGAGCTCAAGTTGCAGCTACACTACGTCAGCGAGCACAAGCATCACGCGCAATTATACTCTCGCTCGGGGGCGCGTGTCAAGCATGGCTGGACAATCTCATGTCCACGTATGGAGTGGTTGCTGCGGACTTGCATACCAAGATCAGCTGGGAGGATCTAAAGGCTGCGAGGCATAAGCGGTTCCTCGTAGAGCCGCCGGAGATCAAGGCAATGGACAAGCTGATGGTCTTCGAACAAGGCACATTGCCGAGTGTTGATTGGATTGCCGAGTACCAACAATTGACATCCGTCCCAGACATCCAAATGGGCTTCAAAGCCATCAAACACGACTTCATCTCGAGGTCGTGTCCGACATTTGGCAATGCCTTGACTCACGTCGAGGACACCCTGACGACACTGACAGAACTCTTCGACAAGGCCGCGCAGATTATTGTCACCTTGCGTATGTTACCAAGGTGGCCCGCGAGTTTCGCAAGCAGCGGTACGATGACAACAACGCACCGCTCCTCTATGTCCGCATCCAAGTTGGGCAAGTGTCCTGCAGCGTTTTTCTGGATAGCGGCGCGTCTCGCAATTTTATGAGCCAGGCATTTATGCAAAAGCTGGCCTTGGCGCACAAGTTCAAAGGAAGGCAAACCCAACGTCGATCAAGTTGGCGGACGGAAGGACGCAGCAGCTTATCGACCTCTACATCGAGGTCGTACCAGTGTGTATTTCACACCTCATGCATGCGAACCGGTGACATTCGACATTTTGGACACGGACTTCGACATTATTTTGGGAATGCCTCGGCTTGCAAGTGCGGATCACACAGTCAACTTCCATCGGCGGACTCTTACCGTTCGCAACGCCTTCGGCGCCGAAGTGTCGTGTACTATTCCTCTTCCGCACCCTTCAATTCGGTGCCATGTAGTGACGGCCAAGTCATTCCGGGCTACTTCTGCTTATGAGCAGCCCGACGAAATCAGCCTATGCTTCCTACGGACCGCCGCGGTAGCCGACTCTTCACCCACGGACTTGTCTTCGGACCCCCGTGTGCTGCGGTTTCTTGACGAGTTCGCCGACATCTTCGAGTCACCTACCGGTGTGGTGCCGGATCGACCGATCTCTCAAGAGATCATTCTTGAGGCCGGTGCCGTGTCGCCGAAAGGTTGCATTTATCTCATGAGCGAGGAAGAGCTTACTATCCTTCGCGCGCAACTCGATGATTTGTTGGACAAAGGGCTGGATCCGCCCTAGTAGCTCTCCAAACGGAGCGCCAGATCTCTGTTTATGGAAGAAGAAAAAAGATCTACGATTGTGCATCGACTACTGCAAGCTCAACGCGCAAACCGTCAAGAATGCGGGGCCTCTTCCTCGCATCGACGATCTTCTTGAGCGATTGGGCGACGTGAAGTACTTCTCTAAGTTGGATTTGAAGTTGAGATACCATCAGATTTCGATACAACCGAACGATCGCTACAAATTCGTGTTCAAGACAAAGTACGAGCATTTTGAGTGGGTGGTCATGCCTTTTGGCCTCACCAACGCTCCGGCGACCTTTCAAGCGGCAATGACCAACGAGTTTCGTGCGATGTTGGACCGCTTCGTGCTGGTCTACTTAGACGACGTTCTCGTCTATAGCCACTCATTGGAGGATCATCTTCAGCACCTTCGACGAGTGTTGGAGACGCTCCGCCGCGCCAAGTACAAGGTCAACCGCGACAAGTGCACATTTGTCCGGCAAGAGCAGGAATACTTGAGCCATTTTGTCACACTGGAAAGATTCAAGCCATCCAAGAGTGACCGAAGCCGCGGAATGTCACGGATGTCCGTTCATTCCTTGGCCTTGCCGGCTACTACCAACGTTTTATCAAGGGATACTCGAAGATTGCGGCCCACTTGTCCAAGCTTCAATGCGAGGATCGGTCGTTTGACTTTGGAGAGCATGTGCGGGAATCATTTTTGGCTCTCAAAGCCGCGCTATTATCTGCGGAGGTCTTGTGCATCTATGACCCGCTATTGCCTACGCACGTTACTACGGATGTGTCCGGCTATGGCATTGGTGCCGTCCTCGAACAACATGATGGCGTGGATTGGCACCGGGTCGAGCACTTCAGCAAGACTGTGCCCGTCGTGCACTCCATTGATGATGGACGCAAGAAGGAGTTCCTCGCCTTCGTCCACACGCTCAAGCGGTGGCGGCACTTCCTCCTTGGTCGAAGCCAATTCCGATGGGACATGGACAACAATCCGTTGGTCTTCTACAAGACCCAAGACACCGTCAATAGCACCATCGCCCAATGGATTGCTTTCATCGACCAATTTGACTTTTTTCCCGATCATATTCCGAAAAAGTCAAACCGTTTTGCGGATGCTCTTTCACTCACTGAGTCCGTGTACGATTTTTGCACCTGAATTATCAGACACGGATCATTGTACCGCAGTCTACTCGACCTTCTAGATCGGCGTCAAACTGCGGGACAGTTTCATCCGCGGCTACCAAGCCGACCTTGAGTTTCGCGACAAGTACGCGAATTGCTTCCCTCCTAATCCCGCGCCTTCTCACTACCAAATCCAGGAGGGGTACTTGTTTGTCCACACGCGAGGGAAGGACCTTCTTTGCATACCGAGTGACTCTCACTTGCATACACGGTGTCGGGACTGGTGGGTCCCGAATAACTTCCCATCACTCGAGAGACTGAATATGGACGAATTGTGCACAACAGAGAAATCTGAAGTGAGGAGGCAGGAGAGAGAAAAGACAAAGGATTAGGCCACAGGAAAGAGTACTGTCCTGAGGTGAAAACCACAGGAGGAGAAAACCAGCAACGACACGAGAATAAGCGCAGGAGCAAAGGCATATAGGACGTAGCATGAGGCCGGGAGGGTCGTTGGAATGCAATAAAACTAAGGCCAAAGGGCCCTTGAACCAGCAAATGCAGCACGACAGCGATAAAAGAATGAGGAAAGTCGAGAGATGGATGACCCCGGGGCCGTGGGAAGCTAGAGAATGAGGGGCCAACGTGGGGGCCACCTACGGGAGCCTCGGAGCGGAGGCCCACAACCAAAGAAATCAGCGCGCACAAGGCGCAAGAAAAGACAAGGGAGAGGGGTCACCATGGGGCGGCAAAACGCCGAAGGGACGTGGGACACCTCGGGGAAAGGCACCCAGGGCCACATGGGACTAAGTAAAAATAATGGCATCTGGAGCGAAATGTGTCGGGGACCACCCGTTGGACTAAGTGCCGAGGACCGCCGACGGGACTAAGTGTCGGAAACCACCGGCAGGACTAAGTGTCGAGGACCACCGGCGAGACTAAGTGTCGAGGACCACCGGCGGGACTAAGTACCGGGGACCACCGACGGGACAAGTGGCGAGGACATGTGAAAGTCCCAAGAGAGGACCACCGGCGGGACTAAGTATCGGGGACCACCGACGGGACAAGTGGCGAGGACATGTGAAAGTCCCAAGAAGAAACGGCGGCACCGCATGAGGGAAAATAATAAGGGCAAGGTGCACCGTCAAGATCGACATCTTGACGGCCAAGAATATTAGCACCACTAGTGCAAGCACTAGTGGTAGCAAACGGGAAGGCCAAAAGGAAAAGAAAAAGTAAAGAAAACTGAAGTGGGAGGCATGGGAGCAATCCGAAGAATCTCGGATTAGCCTCCCTCAAGAAAATGGAGTCAAACGAGACCCCGTGTGAAAAATAGGCCTCCGGGTGAAAATCGAAGTAGGAGGGGCCATTATGGGAGAAAGATAGGAGTGAGAGGAATTTCCCATGGGCATGAGAAGGCCATTATTGCAGTCCGAGATATAACGGACTGCACCTTGGGCATAGGAAGGGCCAAAACAAAGAGGAAGGGGCTAGAAAAGGGCCTTAACGTCCACTTGACACTGGGCATGCTAGAAAAAAGAGAGAAAAGAAAAAAAAATGTGAGAGAATAAGGCAAAACGAGTGAGAGGGAGTGAGTGAGTTGGCCGTCAGTAGGGACTGCCATAAGTAGGGACTGGCAGGTCCCTACTGTCCAACAAAGGAGGAAAAATGAAAAGAAAAGAAAAGAGAAAAAAAAACAGAAAATAAAAGAAAAGAGATAAAGGCCTTAATGGTAAAAAACGGCCACTTGGGGAGATTCATCCCTGACCAGATTCATTCTGGAATATGGCGGTTACAAAGGACTTTGATTTTCTTTGATTTTTGCAGAGAAAATCAAAGAAAATCGAGGCCCCATGCAAACGAAATAAAACGGATTACATGCATGAGGAGAAACACATGTTTTAGCTCCATCCGGGGCCAAAATCAAGTCCGAATGCACTTGGGAATTGACCGTTTCTTTTTCTTTTGAGTAGGGGCTAGTTGTGGGGCATTGGGGCTAGGAAATTGACCCCTATTGCAATCCGAGTTGCAACAGACTGCATGGGGGAGGGAAAACACATGTTCTAGGTGCATCCGGAGCCAATATTGAACCCGGAAACACTTAGAAATTTAACACTTCATTCTCTTTTAGCATGGGGCAAGTTGTGGGGCTGTGGGACTAGAAAGATGGCCATGACTGCAGTCCGAGAAATAACGGACTGCATGGGGGTGCCTAGGCTAAGAGAAGATGAGCCACGATAAGCCCAAAAGGCTAGAAAAAAGCAATTTCGGCATGAGGCAAGTGGAGACGATAAACGGCAACCGTGAGATGAGATCTCACGGCCTAGAAAAATCAGCACACATATAGAGATGATGGGACCACCAAGGGCAAAGGGGCCCCAAAAATAAAAATGGGACACCATCCGGAATGTTGTCGGGAACCAAGTGAGTCCAAATAATAAAAGTCAAAAAACGGGACAGCATTTGAGAGGTGAAAAGGACCCGAAGTAGGCCAAGAGGCAATCCGAGTTGGTACCAACCACTCGGACTGCATGTACTTGGCCAAAAAGAGGCCCGGGTACCTCCAGAAAGGCCTAGTAGTGGAATTTTGCCTTGGGGGTACCTCGGTTCACCTCAAGGCACATGGGGAGGCTCATGGACTGGCTGGACTGCTGGTTTCAGCCTACATAAGCTGGGAATTCAGTCCGCCACTTTCACAATTGCATGAGTGCCCATGCTGCCCAAGTGAGCTCATGAGAGCACTCTTTCACTTGGAGAGAAGAGAGGAGAGCCCATGCTTGTTTATGAGCTTGGTGGAGAGGCTCTAGAGACTAGAGGTAGTGAGGCTGGCACTAGGGGAGTGATC